TCATTTGTTATCGATTTATCGTTTGCTCTCTTCTCTCCAATCGAAATGTGTATGACAGACAATACGAGGAGATGCCCTCTCATTACATTTTGTCACCACAGTGTCTCCCTCCATTAATGGGAAAGAGAGAGAGAGTGTGTGTGTGTGTGTTTGTGGTGATACACTAAATGTAGTGAGAGATGTCTTCTGTTTTGTATCATTCACAATAGTTGGATGACAAGGATTGATTGCTTTGTTATCGATAACATGTGTGTTTGCCATTCTGCCAGAAATTAAAGCAAATCTTCTTTCGTTTTAAGTGTTTTCTTTTTTTTTCATTAGAAAGAATGGAATTTGCTGTTGGTTATTTTTGTTAAAGTTGCACACGCTTAGTTTTTGTTGTGTAGACGACGAAGAAGAATTGTTGATGATGGTGATAATAATAATGATGATTGAGAGGGGCTACAGATATGTAATATATGTATATTTTAGCAAGATATAGTGATGAGATATTGGTTTACATCATGAGAGTGAGGTGTTGGGGGGTACGTACCAAGAAAAAAGGACACACAATTTATTAGTGATTTTTGAAATAAGCTATTTAGGATCTTCTATTATTTAACAGCAATATTTATATCATGTAAATATTTGCTCTATTCAAGTATCTGCAAGATGAGTACGGTAACATACACGTCGTAAAATTTAATATGTTTTTTGATTTTTTTTGTAGAAATCGATTGGTTCCACCAAGGAATATTAGTAGTATGGTTTGCAATTTATTTAAAATCGGACTTTGAGGCTTCAAATTGCATTTTTGAATGAAATAAATAAAATAAATATTAATGTCCATGGCTTCAAAATAACTTGGCTATGGAATATATTTGGATTTTGACTTGAAAATATCTTGAAATCAAATGTATTTTTACAGATTTGGAATATTTTTAATAAGATGCAATCTTTTCATACTACACACAATGAACATTATAAGAAATAAATGGAAAGGGGGTTTTTTGTGATGATGATGTTGGTAGTGGGAAAATAGACAAAATTTGAAAAGCTTACCCGGTTTGTTGTATTCACAAAAAACTAAGCGTGCGGGGTGTTGAATTTAATCCTTTCATAGAAGAAAGGAGTATTTTCGAAAACCAACCTGAAAAGTTTCTTTTTTTGTTGTTGGGATGTATGAAAGTTGAGGAGAATTGTGGATGATGATTATGGAAAATGTTGTTTCTTTATGATGAGTGTAAGTGAACAAGGAGGAAGGAATTAGAGAATGAAATTAAAGAAATATAAAGAAGATATTAAAGGAAGGGGAAAAGGTATAATTTAGGAGAAAATTAGAAAGAATTGTGAGTTAAATAAAAACCAGAAGAGAAAATGAAAAAAAAACTTAAAAATTACAATTTTTTTAAATTCAAAAAAGAAAAAATAATTATTAAAAAAATAAATATTAATAAAATAATTATTAAAAAAATAATTATTAAAAAAATTATTATTAAAAAAAATTATTATTATAAAAAATAATTATTAAAAAAAATAATAATTAAAAAAAAATTATTTTTTACAATAATATATTAAATTTTAACAAAAAATTTTAATTTAACAATTACATTTTTAATTGCAATAATTATTAAAATGTAAAATTTAATTAAAAAAAATTAAATTTTTATAATTAAAAAAATATATATTTTTATTAATTAAAAAAAAATATATTTTTTTCAGTTAATTCAAATTTTTTTAATTAAAAAATATTTTTATTATTAAAAAAATATTTTTTATCATGTAAAACATTTTTAAGTTTTCTCATTTTTTCTTCAAGTAAATAGGAAAAAAATCAAAAACAGGAGGTAAAAAGAAAAGTCAAAGAAATAACATACCATAAAAGAAATTAGGGGGGTAGGTAACAAATCAAAAACTCAAAAATATAATAATATAAAAAGTATATATATCATATATTTTCAAGGCACTTTACCCGGCCGATACTGCCGGAGCAAAGTAATACTTACCTGAAAAGGGGGGCGGAAGCGAAGAAAGAATATAACCAACAAGTGAAGAGAGTCCACCACACATACCATACACAAAATCGCTGAAGACAAACCCCACCAGACCAGATGATGATGCTGCTGACAGCTACAAAACTGATGATGCCGACTGCTGTTACTGCTGCATACTACACTGCTGTTGTTGCTGGAGAGCGATGGGAGGAGTACGATATCAAAAGCTCAAACGTACCTCACTGTCTTTTTGTGGAAAAATTGTGGAATTTTTGGTTGAAATACATTACCTGTTTATTTTTCTCGTTGAAAAAAGACAGCTACATGCTTTATCAATCGTATCCCCTCGACAGACACACAGGATGGCTGGGAAAGCAAGAAGCAGAAGAGATCTGGGGCATTTTGCTGGATGGCTGGCTGGGCAGGTTGACTGGTTGTGACTTGGTTGTTCTGGTTGTTTGGTTTCAAAACACTTTTTCACTTTGTTTTTCTTTTTTTTAATATTTTTTCTTTACTTCTTCTTTTTTAAACACTTTTTTCACTAAAAATTTATGTTGTCAGGGGTTTTTTAAACCCAAAAACAACACAATAAACACTACCTTTTTAAGAAGGAGAAATTCAAAAAAAGGAATTCTCTCCCCAAAAAATTGGTAGTAAAAATACGCCCGTAATTTTCTTTTGAACGATGAACGCGTTTTCAAAAAAATATTGTGTGCCATTTAATTATTACTAATATATAATTAAAAAATTAAAAATCTAACAAAATCTATGTTCTTTATATAAACAAATATACAACAAAAAAAGTCCCGTCAACCAAAAAAAAAACTTAAATAAAATTAAAAACTATATTTTTTACACAACTATTCAAAAAAAAATTTTAACTAAAAAAACTTGAATTCAAAATAATTTTTTTTTAATTTTTTGTAGACCTAAAAAACTTATGCATGCGTATTTTTTTTTCTTTGTATTTCTTTAAATATATTCTTTGCTGGCTGAGAGAGGTATTTCGAAATAAATTAAATTTTAAGAGGGGAGTGGTGGGGTTAGGAAAATTAAGGGCATTGGCAAATTGAAATAGAACCGAGGAACGCTTCAACAATTTTAATGGGCAAGGTGTTTTAATAAAAAAAATATTAAAAAAAAAAAAAAAAAATTAATAAAAAAAATTTTTTTTAATAAAAAAAATATTTTTTAATAAGAAAAAATATTTTTTAATAAAAAAAATATTTTTTAATAAGAAAAAATATTTTTTAATAAAAAAAATATTCTTTAAAAAAAAAAATATTTTTTAATAAAAAAAAATATTTTTTAATAAAAAAAAAATATTTTTTTAATATTTTTTTTTTTTTTAAATCCAGAAAATAGTGGCCTCCCATTATTTTAGACAAAACATTTCTTCCCATTTATCTCTAGCCATGAATTTTCTAATAGAAGAGAGCTGGACAGAGAGAGCTCATAATTGCAATTGAATTGAAATGATTGGAGGAGGGGGGTCGGTCTATGACGTGGACTAGATTTCTAAATTGATATCTAAAAAATATATGTATCATTTGAATAACATGTACATGTATGTATGTGTTGTTTGGGTTTTTTTTTTCAAAATGGATTTTTTTTAAACTTAAATTTAAAAAAAAAACTATTGAATTTTTTGATTTGATACAATACTAATTTGAAATATAACACAACAATCAGCAGAGAGAGATAAATTATGCAAGGGCAATACTAGAGAGAGAGCATGATTAAACATGAAGCAGAGAATGGTATGATATTATATGAAGAACGAGCGAGCGAGCGCTTCAAATAAATGGGATGGATGATATGGTGATATGGATGGCATGATTGTTGATTTGTTGTTGTTGTAGCGTGAAGTGAGACGACTTGCTAATATAAATATTTTTCCTAATTTTTTCGTTTCATATTTTTTTTTTATGAAACCCAAAAAAAAATTTAAAATATATTAAAGAAATCAAAACAAATTGAAAAAATACAGTTTGGTTTGAATTTAAAAAAAAAATAATGCTACTACACAAACACCAACAAATTATAATTAAAAAAAAAAATAAAATAAAACACAATAAAAAAATAGCTAAACAAAAAATGTTAGTGTTAATCAATCATTTGTTAGTATTAGTTGTTCTTGTAATGAGTGGGTTGGGTTGATTTTTGTTTGTTTGGGGTTAGGGTTAATTTAAACAAAACTAAATTAATTTTAAAATATAACAACTTGCATTAATTAATATAATAAATAAAAAAATAGATAATATAATACAATATATGACAGCGATAGAGATGGTTTTGTATTAATAAAAATTAACAAACAAAATAGAGATAGAGTTAATACAAGAAAAAATATATGATTTTTATAATAAACAACAAAAATAAAAAATAAACCAAAGAGTTATTAAGGGGAGAAAATATTTAAAATATAACAAAAATTAAAAAAAATAGAGCAGTCATATTTTAAACATTTTCCCCCTTAAAAACAAAATAAAAATAAAAACTATTTAAGTAAGGAGTTTGGTGGGAGGGTTAAAAAAATCTTTGTTGCTTGTTTTTTGTTATTAAATTCTCTTCTTTTAATTATCTCTAAAATACAGATTTCTTGTTGTTTTTTTTTAAATAATTTTTAAAAATGAGCACGACTTTGTGATATTCTTGGGGGGAGTAATATAAAATTGAAAAGTAAAAACAGCTTTTTTAAAAAACAATAGTGGGGAAATTATACATGAAGTCGGAAGAAAAAATTCATTTCTTCCTTTTTTAAAATATTAAAATAAATTGAAAATAGTTTTAGAAAATTATGCTGTCTTTTGTTGTTGTAGTGTATTATGTGTTAGATTGTTGTTTTGAAATAAATAAAATAATTGAAAAAAGAAATTATTTTGCATTTAGTAGTCGTCGTCGTGCTCTTTTTAGCTTTCTTTTGCTTTTTCATTTGTTTATTACTCTTATTATAATAATGTATATATTTCATATATATATTCTGTTGTTTTTTTAGTTATTTGTAAAGTTTTCATTTTGACTCACCTTGAGGATCCCGTTGCTGTGCTTCTTGTGTTGCCAATAATAATTCATCCTGAGATCTATCGTGTTGCCAGGGTGCATATCCTGCAAAAACAAATAGAGAAAAGGAAATTAGTATAATTCAAAAAATAATTGTAATAAATAAAATTAGTAGACATACAAAAAAACTCGATTCTTTAATTTTTTAGCATGTTTTAAAACTTTTCCTAGTTTGATAATAATTTAAATATTTATTATAATTTTATTTTTGAGTTTTTTTTTTAATTATATATTTTTTGTTTTAATTTTTTTCAATTTACCTAGTTTAATTTTTTTTATTAATTTTTCAAAATTCATTTTTTTCTAATTTATTTTTTTTAACTTTCCAATTTTGTTATTTTCCTAATATTTTATTTAAATTTTCCTTTTATTCCATTTTCTTATTTTTAATCTTCTATTTTCTTTTTTTAATTTTCTTTTTTTTATTTTCCTATTTTTTTTTATTTTCCTATTCTTTTTTATTTTCCTATTTTTTTTATTTTCCTATTTTTTTATTTTCCTATTTTTTTATTTTCCTATTTTTTATTTTCCTATTTTTTTTTTTTTCTATTTTTTTTTTTATTTTTCTATTTTTTTTTTTATTTTATTTTTTTTATTTTTCTATTTTTTTATTTTTCTATTTTTCTATTTTTTTATTTTTCTATTTTTTTATTTTTCTATTTTTTTATTTTTCTATTTTTTTATTTTTCTATTTTTTTATTTTTCTATTTTTTTATTTTTCTATTTTTTTATTTTTCTATTTTTTTATTTTTCTATTTTTTTATTTTTCTATTTTTTTATTTTTCTATTTTTTTATTTTTCTATTTTTTTATTTTTCTATTTTTTTATTTTTCTATTTTTTTATTTTTCTATTTTTTTATTTTTCTATTTTTTTATTTTTTTATTTCTTTTTTATTTTCCTATTCCTTTTTTAATATTTCTATATTTTCCTATTTTCTTTATTTTATTATTTTTTCTGATTTTCTTTAAATTCTCCTGATTTTTTTAATTTTCCCAATTTTTTTATTTTCCTAACTTTTTTTCCTTTTTTGTTTATTTTCCGTATTTTTTTTATTTTCCTATTTTTTTTATTTTCTATTTATTTTTGTGTGTCCGAATGTTTTTTCCATCTCCTAATTTTTTTCTTGCGTTACCTTTTTCTCTTTTTTCCTAGAATCGAGTTTTGTTTGGCCTATCATTGTTTGTTGTTGTTGTGTGATTTTTCCACCACCTTTACTTACCTTGACTAGATCCTTCACCACCTTGACTTGTGCCAGCATTATGATCCAAATCATCCATACCCATATCCTCTTCATCTAATGTCAAATCCTCAACAGTTTCATCATTTGCTTCATCATCATATTCCGCTTTAGGTTCAATTACCAATTCCGAGCCAGTTACACTTGCAGTATCTTTTGATGCTGTGGCTTTCTGGTGGTGCTGTTGTTGTTTATGATTCGATTTGTCGGCAGTACTGGCATCTGTGGCGGCGGCATCGGTATCCATAGCGGGTGTTGCGGTGGCCATTGAGCCAGCAGCTGAACCTTGTACATTATCGGTATTAATGGCATCTTGTTGTTGTTGAGTGGATCCTTTAACATTGTCAGTCTTTTTGGAGGAGCTTAAGGTCGTGCCGGATGCTGCTGGGGTAACAGCTGATGAGGAGGATTGTTGTTGTTGTTGTGTAGCGGATAGGGGGACTACTGTGGATGCTAATGCGGCGGCAGCAGCAGCGCTTGATGGTACACCGGCAGCGGCAGCAGCCAATGCAGAGGCAGCTGCTGTGATGGCACCCAAACCGGGGGCATTCGACGATTGTGTTGGTTGTTGTGATGAATTGGAATTATCATGGACATCTGTAGAGGAGAAAAATGCAAACAATAAATATCCATTTTGCGTGTTGTGTTGGAAATTCTTTCAAACTTACCAGTCATGGCATTTTCAATGCTCCTGCGTCTCACTTTTCTACGTCTTCTTGATGGACTAGATGAACCCTCTCGTGAGCCCATTTCGCTGGCATCCATGGCTGGGCCAGCAGCACCTGTGATGCGTGCTCGTTTTGTTTGCTCTAGTGTATAGCCACCGCTCAATTTGCCGGGCATTGTGGCCCTATGATGTTCAGGATGTTTGGGCTGTGATGCACCGCCGCCAGAACGATTATCTGACAGACCCTTGATTTGTAGAGATTCTGCAGCCTTTAACAAAGCAGCCAATTGATCCTGGGAGATATTCACCTCACCACGATACATATAATCCATCATGGCTCTTAGTTCTTGATATTTCACATCTTTTAAAATGAAGATGGGATGTTTATCGTATTGCTCTTGTAGAAGGGTCTGCAAAAAGAAATTAAAAATAAGTTTTTGTTGGGATATTTTTTGTTAGATTCAGAGAAACTTACCGCAAAATAGGGACTACACGCTGAGAGCACAACTTTGTGGGCTTTTAAGAATTTGCCTTCGGCGGCCAATGTGCAATCGACTAATGTCTCATTTTCCAGCAGCGTATCGAATACACTGATTAGTGTACTCTGATGGTTGTTCCATCTTAAACAGAATTGCTGATCGTCATCCATGGTGGTGGACGATGATCGTTTAGTGTTGTGTGTTAGAACTTATTTTGACAAAATGATGGAGCCGCTACTTGGTGTTATGGCGTAGATTTCGGGGAGATTATAAGAAAGCGGGGATGGTGTTAGAAAGAGAGAGAGAGAGTTGCTCCTCCTCCAAAAACAACAAATGTGTTGCCGTTTCCTTTCGTTTCCTTCTTCCGTTTACACAAATTTTATTTCCTCTTGCCTTATTCAGTGATGATTGTTGTTGAAGAGAGAGATGATGTGTTTGCTTGCTTATTACAAATGTTTTGTATTTTTGGTCACTACAAGTTAATATATTTTTTGTTTTTGTTTTATTTTGAATCCTGAGTGTAATTACGTCAATTTAAAAATTACTTCTTTTTTGTCGTAGTTTTTCTTTGCTTTGCTTTCACAAAGTGAGAGAGACTTAGAGAAAGACTACTGTGAGGAGAGAGAGAAATTCTGTTGTAAATGTTCCCTTTTTTCTGTTGACAGACACCAACGGGGGGTATTTTTCTGCTTATTGTTGTTGTCGTTGGTTGGTTCTTGTTCTTCTTTGTTTTCTATTTTTGTTGTTGTAGTATGATGCTTCTTCTATTAGAGGAGGGTTAAGGTGGTTTTTCTTTTTATATTGTTTTTGTTGTTTGTTTCACTACTAGATTTTGGTATGTTTTTGTTGTTGTCGTTTTGTTTTTCATATGCTTGGCTTTTCTTCTGGGTTCTTCCTTTTTTTACACACTTTTATGGTATCATTTAGGAATAAATAGTTTGCTGTTTGGTATTTGTTGCTTTGCTTTAGCTTTTGTTTGTTGTTGTTGTCAAATTAAAGCTGTAAATAGAAAAAGAAGACACAAAATTAGTATTTCATTTTTTTATGGAATAACTAGAAAAATATTTTAGATTTTCCACAACAAATAGAGAGTAGGCGCTGTAGTGTGTGTGGTTGCTCATATTTGTTTTATTTTATTTAATTTCCATTTTAATTGATTTTATGCGTTTAATCGTGTTGCCTTGCTTGTTTGGCGCCAAAATGTGTGTGTGTGTTACTTTGATGATGCCATTCTCTGCGATTACCATCATTACAACAAGCCGTTATCATCATCACTTATCGATTGCTGTCAAAAGGGCCCGCCGCCGTTACAATTAAGGCGCTTGGCGTTTAACGGCAAATGGGGGAGAATTGAAGAAAATTTTGTTTGTTTGTTGTTTTTGTATAAAAGCCCTCGATTTTTTTGTATTTTAATAAAAAATTATAACGAAAATATGATTTGGACTCAATAATCTTTACATTAAAATGCAAAATAAATGTGGTTCGTAATTAATAATGCAAAAAGCAAATGTAAATTCATTTTTATTATATAACTTTGTAAAAAATTATTGAAATTATATTCCCACACATTTGCCTTTATTATCAATGTTAAGAAAAGACAATTGCAATCAGTACAGTCAAATTACTTGAGACTTAAAAATTCAATTAGGTAATCCCAAAATTTGTTTTGATGTCATTTTTATGTAAATTAGGCAATATAATAATTGAGTGAGTTGTTGTGGAACCTGATTTTGCACGATCAAATATTGAAGAGAAAGAAAAAAAAAACAAAACTGGCAAGTAAACAAATGAAAAATAAATTATTATTCCACATTTATACTGTGACAATGATAAAAAGAAAAAGTACCGTTATTGTGTGTTGGTTAAAAAAAACAAAACCTGATAGTTTTTGCATAAAACAAACAAGAATGTATTTTACTAATTTTTCTAACATACAATTTAATTGTATGCAATATTTTTTTCTCTAAATTAGCAGTATTTATAGACGAAAACTATTTAGAAAAAAATCATATGCATTCATTTGACATATATTTTTATGCATGCCGTTGTTGTTTAAATATTTATTTTTAGCCAATATTTTAAACTTGTTTAATCACTATTTTTATTCAAATTTCTTTCTGTTTGGTTTCATTATGCCATGTACAGACGAGCGTCGTTCGCTCTCTCATTCGTTGTTCGACCCTTAATTATGAAGTAATTACTTAGTTCCCCATACAAAATTGTCTGAGCGAACACCGATTTTTGTACGTTGTTCAATTCGAATCACTCTCTGAATAACCAATAAATTTGTCCCATCCCTAACAATTGAGAGTATTTATCGAAAATAAATTAATTTTGACAGTTTGAAAATATTTATGAAATTTTCAAACTTTTTCAGTAAAATTGAAAATTATGAATGAAAAGTAAAAAATTGTATAGTTTTTATATATGCAGCAGGATGTAAATTTTGTTTTCTACATAATGCAATATGCATTTCTTTTCCCTTGGTTCTAATTAGCGTACAAAACAAGAAACAAATGTGGGGCAACTCAAAAAAAAAATTCTCCAAAATTTTATTTGTGACAGTATGTGACATTTGAATTGAGAAAATATAAAAATGTATTAAAAACAACAACATTTTCAGAAAAAATGGAAAACATGAATGAAAAGTAAATAGATATGGGTTCATACTATAGTCAGGAGAAAGAGAATTATTTTTTCTATTTAGATCCCTATGTAATCCACTAAAATATGTTACATATTTGGTGTAAAACAAGAAACAAAAAGTTTGAAATAAAAAACTCTGATGATATGAATTATGAATAGTGTTGTATGAACGGGTTAATTCATGTACGTAATTCTGAGAGCGAACTACGTTGTTCGGATGCCCGTCAGAACATGGCATTAAACAGATGTTTTTTTTTTTATCACTGTGAACACTTATCGATAATTGTGTGAAGTGCAAGACAAGTAATCAATCATTCGATAAATGACGTGACAGTTATGCTCTCAGTTATTACAAAGAGAGATAACAAAGAAAAAGTAGCTGTGATTTTCTTTTGCATTTAATAAAGAAGTTATCAAAGAAAAATATAAAAAGAATGCAATTTGTTAAATATATATATATATATATATATTATTTCGTTAAATACATTTGATTGTTAAATTTACTTTCACTGCAAGTGTTCTCAGTCGTCTTCATCAAGGCCACCAACAATACACCGGTTTGCACAATGACAATAACAACGTAATAAAAAACATTCACTTCTTAAATCTTGAAAGAAGAAACAAAGAATTCCTGATCTGTCTAATGATTGTTTGACAAGATAAAGAGAGAGGAGATGGTGTTTGGTGTGATATTTTGCATTGTAAAATGAAACACACGCGTGCACAAAATAAAATGCACACACACAGACATATAGAAATAATTTACTAGTAATTATTAATGAAAGTAATTTATTTTAATTTAAAAGAAGTGATTTAAAAAAAATCTGGCAAATATTGCGGTTAATGAAGGAAAAACTTCACACCATGAGAAGAGTAGATGACAAACGATAACTGTGTACGAACAATGTGTAATCGATCTTATTGCTTCTGATGGCAACAATGTTGTCAATGTAGCGGTTTTGAATTGCATTTTACAAGAGACAAAGAAAATTAAAGTAAATTAGAAAAATGAAAAATATCAATATTAAAATTATAGTTTAAATGAAATTAAAACAATTTGAATATTTGTAAGGAAAGGAATGAAGTAAAATAAATAAAATGGTTAGTCTATTTTTTTTTTCGTGGGAAATTTTAGATTCTGGCATAAAAAAATAATGACAGATTATCTGCTAACTAGTATAGAAATATTAACTAAAAACAGCCAATTTTTGTGCAAACGTTTTCAAAAAGTTTAGAACAATAATATTTTATAAAGTGAATTAAATTGACTCATAGATAGTTTGAAAAACTATTTTCTAAGAAACCGAAAATTTGAAAAACGTAAATTAATTGGTCGTAATGGCCTTTAAATTTTTTTTTAGAAAAAAAAATTAAATTGGTAAATGTTACTGGAATTGTATATTTCTATTAAAATATTGTTCTGCAAAAATATTCTAATTATCGATTCTTTTTTCGATTTCTACTTTATAAATTAGATTTGGAAGAGACGTTGAGTTTTAAAAAAATATATTTTTTTAATTTTATGTCATGTTATGCACAAATTCACAAGTTTTATTTTATTATTTCGTTCTACACAAAACAAAATTTTATTTCTATTGTCATCTGTTTAATAAATGAAGAATGTTTGAAAATTATTTTTTTACACATATCCTCAATTTTATCAAATTCAGTAATTTTCCACAATAATTGCATAATAACGAGCAATGGTAATCGATTTCACACAAACTTTCTTTTAACTCAATTATTAGACCTTATAATCACAAAAAATGTAATTAAAAAATCACTTTATAGTGGCATAAAATCCTCAGAGACATTTTTCACCATTTATTTTTTCCTTTTTTCTATAATTTTTACGAAAAAACCCTAACAAAGAAACTGCAACCTAATCATTTGCCTGCAAGCATTTCATGTTATCGAAATGCCATCGATAACTCTTCATCGAATGACAACCATGTAATTGATGACACTCAAACTATAACAGATGTTTTGCAGAGAGAGAGAAAGAAGAAGCCCGCGTAAAGTGAAGTGACAAGAAAAAACATGATTATTATTGATTGTGAGACTTTAAGGAAAATTAAAAAGAAATTTAATTCAAAAATGGGAAATAAAGGAAATTAAGAAGTGTATTTAAATATATAAAGATTGATATATTATAAATTAAAAAAATGTCTTCTTTCACAACAACAATTTGCCTCCATTTTTATGCATGGCTTCATATCATAAATGCAATTTGTTTAAAATTAGAAATAAAAAAACTCCAATCATAAAACAACAATAGCAAAAATTTAAAACAAAAAAAGAACATTATGATAATTATTGTTTATGATAGTATGCACAAACGTTTGTATATATAATTTTTTTGCAAAGTTTGTTTATTATTATTGTTATTCTGTTTCTGTTCTTTGCCTGACTGCTGCCACATACAACGAACAATAATAATAAAAACACAGTAATTTCAAGGTCAAGTTCAAGTATTGCGAAAAATAATAAAATATAAAACACACACACACAGAGGGAGGCAGGCAGTCAGCAGCAAACACGAAAATGGCAAGTTGTGCACAAAAACAACAACAACACAATAGCAAAATG